AATATAAATTAATTGCAGTTGTTGCATCTTGAAGATTTTAAAAAATATAATACCATTCATTATGTTTGAAATAATATTACCTGGCTTTTGAAAGCTACCCATTACTAATGTCTAAAAAGCAAGTAATTTCAGTACATATAAAAATATTATTTTTGTATTTGCCATATGTTACAATTGCAAAGTTTTTCTAATATAATGCTGAATTATGCTTGTAGTGTTTTCAAAGAGACAGCTCAACAATCTTTACAAATGTTATTTTGAACAAAAGAAGTATGACTGCTATGATCACATTGCGGATCACTGATGATGCTAACAACAGAAGCATTTCTTGACTCAGGTTTTTGCAGTAACTATTGTATTTCTTTACTTGTGTTTGTTAAAAACCTTAGATGTGAAATAAACTCATCTTGCTTGCAAGCAAAAAAAACAGAAAAAATGTTTACTAAATCACATTGTGATTTATATTTTGCTGCCTGAAGCAAGTGGCTATCTGCACTATTTAAATGTTTAGACATTTTCTTCTTTTCCTGCTGAGGGTACTCAGCTAAACAGTATGTGGAGACTAGTTGGTTTCCATTCCGTTCCAGAAATGTCTTTTCAACCAGTGGGTCACAGACAATCCTGAAAACCTTTTAATGTTAAACTTCCTGTAAAGCACTAAATGCTAAACCAGTTATTTTTTGGTTTTTAAGTCAATAAAGAATTTAGTTGGTACCTACACAAGTCATGCATATACAGTTTGGCTGTCCTTTGATTTAAATTATGGTAATGTGATAATTTAGCTGCTGTTGTGAAAAAATGTGTTAACCTGTTAGATTAATGCTGTAATACTTGCATTTAGATATCACCCTGTGCTTGTAAAAGTGCTTCTCACTTGAGAAGCTCCAAGTGCTTTGCACATTGAGCATTGTTGTTACTAGACTCTGCATGAAAAATGGAAGTTCTGAACAACTTGTTTTTAGAGATAAAAAATAATGAGAATTTGACCTGTAAATCACTCTGAAAATAAAACACTTCAGCAATAAGAGTTAAGGAAAGAGAAGGGTATCTTGATTTACACTATTATTATCAATATATTATATTCCTGTCTTAAGCAGAATTAAAGATAAGATAGCAGTACAGCTTGGTAATTTAATACCATTATGTCAATTTTTAGTTTAGAATTTAAAGCATAATCTACATAACAAATAAAAATAAGGTTGTGAGCCTTAATATAATAGAAAACTATCAGACAATTTTGTAGGTCTAGCAGTTGCAGTTCCTGTAAAATTGCAGTATATGCATTGGAAAAATCTGTGACCATACAGCTAATTATTAACTTTTATGTTCATTTAATTCACAAGTCTTAAAACCGGTAAACAGTGGAGTCCAGTTCTATGAGATAGAACCAGATAGGGCTATAAATTGACTGTTACGTTAAATTCTTGCAAGCGTTCTCTGCTTGATAAAATGTAAAAGAAAATTAGTATATTCTTCCTCTCCTGAACTCTAATTCAAATTATTTTAGAACTAGTTTAACTTCTCACAGCTGAAATGCATACATTAGCTATTCAGAGCCATCTTCAAGACATTCTTACACATTCTTACCTAGTATGTTTCTAATTGAAATGTGTTGTCTTTCGGACACCGTCACATACTATGCTATGACTGGTAATGAATTCTGGAATCATGTACCTCCACAAGGATTTGTACTGGATATGGATTAATGACAGGCTTTTCACACTTCAATTGTAAGTCTAAACAATATTTCCTGGGTAGCAATCTGATTATATGAAGAGTTAATATCCCCAAACCAGGGATTTTTTTAAGGTAGATTGGTATTATATAGAATTTTTAAAGTATTACTTCTCAATTTTAATTGATCAGGATGGTCAGATGGATTTTTATGTCAATATCTATTATCCTTTATTTTATGCAGTAAGTCTACACAAGATTTTCCATCTGCTCAATCTGAATTTCATTCTCCAGGTCAGAAACAGTGGAGTACATTACATGATTAGCATTCTAATACTCATTTTTTAAATGACAGAGTGAAAAGGATTTAAAATAATTAATTTTTAATGCTTGCATCAGTATCAAATTACTTACCACAATCCTTTTATTGGTGGCATTTACATTCTCTGCTTCATCGTCTCGTTTGAGGATAAAAGATTACATATGGAGTATTTTCAAGTGATTGCCTGATTACACGTTAATGCTTTAATGGAAATGTAGAAATACTTCAAGTGAATGTTGAAAATGTTTGATGGAAAATAAAATAGATTATTAATAAGTTAAAATGGTATTTACTGAAAAGTCAGGACATAATTACTGGAGTTTTCTAATCCTAAAACCAAAGTGCAAATTTAAATAAGCCATCACTAATACAGTAGCGTAATGATATGTATCACTTGTATAACATCAATCTAGAAATCATGGGAACAATTTTATTTTACTTGTAAATTAGCCTTGAGACATCAAGATCATGAAGATGATGAAGTCTTTCCAAATTTTGTAAAGTAGAATGGACAATAAAAAATGTGGCTGAGGGAAGGCAGCATTGCTGATAAGTACCAGAGAAGAGATCTAGAATATTTTTTAAACTCAAAAAACTGCTTCATGGTTGGATGTGATGATCTTGGAGGTCCTTTCCAACCCAGCTGATTCTGTGATTCTATGATTCTACTTAGATAAATGTACACAGGAAACTGACTGCTGCTATGATATTAAAGGAAGTGCTTACAGATATATTTTAAATTTCAAACAATCCTGTAGGTCTTCTTCATCTACATTTCCATGTATTGTGAAGAATTCTGAATCAAGTAGCATGCTTTCCTAACCAAGGATCAATGTGTAAAGAGCCCTTAGAAGATCAGGTCCAGGCAGAACGAGCCAGGACTTTGAGGGCTTTCATCTTCACAGAGATGATGAACAAACAGATTCATAAGCCACTCTTCTGTTCCTGTTCCATTTCCTACCAGTCTTGAGCAGAGCTGAGGGAACAGTCAGCTGCTTTCTAGGCAATGCTAAGTAAAATAGCCTTGTGCTGTTAACATTTGTCTTGCTTTTACTAAGCCAGGTTGAAAGGCATCCATCCAGTATCTGCCACTGCTACCCAGTACTGCCACCCAGTACCTCCCTGGAAGCAGCTGCTTTGCTGTCCTTTGCTTATCTGCTACTTTACACCTTCATGGTTGCTTTCTCGCAAGAACCAACCATATTCTGGCTCCTGACATAATTTATACAGGGAACCACAAATCCCTTTATGTTGAGATTTTGTTTATATCTAGTAACAAAGTATTTTGTTCCCTTCTTTGTCATGGATATATATTTTCCTTTTGTTTATATATACCACAATTTTCATTAAAGTCTGTAGAATAAATTAGGTCACAGATTCTTACCTGGGTATAAGTTCAGCATTTCAGAATGGGAGTATGTCATGCCTTAGCAAAACAACTGAATAAAATGGAAGAGCAGCCCCAAAGGGCAAAAAGCAATGAAAAATAACAGCACATCACCTTGCCTTCTTTGGGTAGAATCCAGCAGTGAAGCAAAATATCTTAAGAAAATGGAATATTTGGGAATCTTTTAATGAAACAGAAAAGGAAAAATCAATGTCTGCCATCAGATGCCCTGTATAACTCCCAAGGACTTGTATAGGACACCTGTGCAATAGAGGAAAAAATGGACCCCAAAATGCCAGGGGAGACTGTATATGTAAAGAGTGCCCTGCACAGCACTCAACGGGCAAGAAAAGCCATTTGATCTCCTATATAACTCTGTCCTGATTAGAGCCTTTCCTTTGGAACTGAGCACTGAGCTTTTTTTTTAAAGTGTCAATCTGCTGACTTGTCCAGAACCATTCCTCTGATCAAATTTGTCAGCTTATTCAGTACATCTTCTGCACTGTTCTGGGGCATGGGGCTGTTCCCAGGTGAAAGACTTTGCACTTCTCCTTGTTGAACAGCATGAGGTTCCTTTTAGTCCATTTGTCCAGCCAGTCAAGGTTCCATTGGACAACAGCACAACCCTCTAGTGTGTTAGCCACTCCTTCCAGTTTTGACCTCCACAACTTGCTGAGGGTATGCCGTGCCCCAAAATCCAGGTGAAAGTGATGAACAGGATAGGACAGAGTTTTGATCTCTCAGATACACCACTAGTTACCTGCCTCCAGGTAGACTTTGTGCCACTAACCAAAGCACTCTGAGCTTGACTGTTCAGCCAGTTTTAAATCCACATCACTATTATTGTTTGTCTTAGCACTTTTTGCTAAATAAAGGGCACCTCTAAAGAGAGTTTGGTGTCTTGTTCCACATCCAGAGCAATCCACAGCATATCTTACTTCCTTTCTCTCAGCATGTGCCTGGGTGTGGGACTAAACACCAGCAGTTTCTCTTGATGTCCTACCTTTCTTTTCTGTCTATCTGTGACTCCCCTTGTGCAAACTTAGAATTCCCCAGAGGAGACTGTGCAACTCATAGTTATGATGTTGTCAGGATTGCCAAGGACAAAAAAAGCTGAAAACATATCCACAAAAGCAACACTACTCATCATCAAGACAGTTACTAGTCACATGATAGCTACAATAGCTGTTCTTACTCCCAGAGGTTCATGTCACCAGAAATACTTTTCTCTAAAAATGACAAAACAAACCTTAACTCTGGTTCTTCATTCTTTTCCATCTCAGTATCAGTAACTGTGGTAATGCTGTTGTTGATGTGATAAAAATGTGATGTGTATATGTAGAATGCTAGCAAAAGCTTAACTTGGATCTGAGCTTCTGCAGGCAGGTACACAGCTGTGAAAGAATCCATTGTGCTTAACAGAAGCTACACCCTGTGCAATTATTGTTTGGGACTTTTTTTTAAAATCGTCACACATAGCAGAAGTATCAAATAGGCTCACAGCATGCTTGATGCAGTCTATTACAATTCTGAATGATAAAAACTCAATATCAAACATTTTGCCTTTTTCAGTTTTTTTCTATTCATATTATTGTGCCTCATGACTGTCATTTTTACTGTGATTTCTACAGCCCACAAAGGGAAAAAGAAATAACAAAGAAAACAGAAAACAATAAATCCTATTATCCAGTTGACTGAATAAATGTAGATTATCACCATGTCCATATCAAACCGCCATCCACAGCTATCATCCTCAAAGTCCATATAGTCCATCCTGTGAGCAGCATGTGGGAAATGCCTCCTTATTACAGTATCTGAGCATCTTTGAAAATCTGATAAAAAACAGACTAGGAGATAAAAATCTTTTTAAAAGCAACCAGATTGACTAGGAAAAAAAAAAAGTTAACACTTTTTCCCTGGTTGTGTAAAGGACAAATAGAAGCAGGAAATCTCACACCTCACTGTTAAGTTTCCTTACTTTGTTGGACTCAGAGAAGCTCTCTGTGGAATTGATTTTGTAAGATTTAAAAAAGTAACTCTGTGTTCCACATCTAGAAAATAATATGTTTGTTTGTTTGTTTGTATTTGGCATTCTCTGCTATAGTAAAGTAATGCTATCTGCTCATGTTATCCAGATCTGTGAACACCTGTCTTGGTGCCTTCTTCCACTGAATTTGACTCAGTGATCCAGAAGTGAAAGGCTCCATATAGTGTAATCAATCTCTTCTCTAATTAGTAATCTCTACTCAGCTGAATTCTTCAGTAATCAAGATACATCCAGATTTGTACATGCATAGTTCAACAGCTGAAACACATTTGAGTTCCTATTTCTAGAATTTGAGGATTTTTTTCCTAACAGTCTTCAAAATAAATTCTGCTTGCTTTAATGTTATGTTCCTATCTGATCCATACTAGGTTAAAATTCATTTTTAAATCACTGTTTGTATGCTGGTAACACCTTTAGAATATATAGGCAGATGCAAACATAGCCAAGTGGAAGTAAAAGTCCTAACTCCAAAAATGGCCAGAGTGTGGGGTCCCGCCAAAAGGTTCTCCCTGTTTATTGCTCCCCTGACTTCTCCTGCTTCTCCTGATGTAGCAAGAGAAGTACTATAGGAGCATAGCTCTTCCATATGTCAAGACATGAGGTTAGAGAAGTGTCTGTGCAGCTGTGTTAGAAGCTTGTGGCCCAGAAAGAGCCTGGCAGCTCTACTGCAAAGGCAGAAAGTCTTATGAAGAATAAGGAGGGAATGCAATCATACTCTGGATTTTCACTCTGTTTTCATGTAATTCTCAATTTTTATGATTCATTCTGTGATTCTATAATAAATTCTGACAGGAAAAATGCTTTCAAATGTCTGTATCTCTAGCTAGAGTGGAAATAAGCCTTGCCTCTGCATCTGATTTTAGCCATCTGCAGATAAAAACTGAGAGCTGTAAAGTTTTCAAAACCTGTACAGCAACATGGAGTAGGGGTTGAATTATGAAACAAAAGACCTGAGGAAGCTTCAAATTCACTTCTAATATATTTTTTCATTTTTAAAAAAGAAATCTTATCATACAGGATTTCAGTCTCCAAATAATACAGTCCCCAAATAACTTCTGCATGGACATGTATTTGTGAAAAAATATGTTTTATTTAACTTCCTTGTGCATGTCTGTGTGCATACTCTGAATAAGAACTTCCACTCAGAACACATGAATATCCATGTACAGTACCAGCGGAGTCTGGCAGACTGTTAGTAGGAACCTGTTAGTTAACAGGTTAGATAAAAAAAACAATGTTGTGTGCAAATCACACTTTTATATGCAGAAAGCATGCAAACCAAAAAGTATTTTCACCAGAGCATCAGTAGGCACATCTGTTGCATGTGTCCCTGCCAAAGTTTTTGCAACCTCCTGTTGGGGTACTAGCAAAACACAAAATTAGACTACAAACAATTTAAAACATTCTCCCAATTGTATAAATTGACTGACCTAATTTTTCTATTACTTAAGAGTTTAAGATATGAGATGGAAAATTTTAGTTTAAAAACATGCCCAAACTAATGATATGCAAGCTGCAATAACTGTGAACATTATAAGTGCTCATATAAAATTAAATTACATATGAACAAGTGTTCTTAGGTAATCAGATGCACCAAGGTACATCATTTTGGCACAGTCTTTTCTTTCTGATTATAAGCTTCCAAAGCGGCACATAAGACAGAGCAATTGAAAGACTGTGAGAAAAAATGCAAGTACTGACTGACACCTTCCCATATGTGCCCTTGCAGCAACTAGCAGCTTAGGGCCCTAGTGCTTTGGAAGCTGTTTTCAGAACGATGTATTAAAACAGCATTGATGGGACTTTCTTTTCCTACATGGGTCTCTGCATGCTTTAGAACCAGATTTCATATTGCCTCCATTTACTGCACTTTGTGTCCCTTGGTGGAGCAAAGAAATTGATTTCTTTTCAGGTGAAACTAAACCAGAAGATGAACTCTAAGAGCTCTGATGTGTTCCAGTAATATGCTTCAACCACTAATGGGCATTTAGCCCTGGGGATTGCAAGTAAGTTGCCCCACATGCAAATGTGGACATCTGACCCCACAGCGTCAGTTGCTGTGCTCCATCTATTATGACTGATATAACTGCTAATGCAAGAATGCCTCTGAGACACAGTGAACAATCTTTCCTAAAACATCTTTATGTCATTCATAATTGCACAGATTTCTCGTATCTGTCTTCTGTAATATCCTTTCCAAACAAAAGAACTTCTAAATTTCCTTTGTATGGAACAGCTTTTATAGTTCACGTCATCCTTTCATCATTATGCTTCCCTCTGCTTTATCTTTCTCTGAGGTGATGTAATCTAAAATTATATGCAATATTGGAGATGTGGGATCACCACAAATCTAGACAATGACACGATACTTTCCATTCTGCTATGATTCTAAAAATTCCTGCTTTTTGACTATGGCTGTGCATGGAATGTTTTCAGAAAGCTAATCACAGAATTAGATGTCTTTTCTCAAGTGGCAATAGCTAATTTACAGCACATCATAGTGAATATTATGCATTATGGAGATGGAGAGCCTCTGTGGGCAACTGCTCCATCATCTGACTCTCCCCACAGTGAAAGTGGTTTCCTTACTCACACTCTGAACTTTTCATATCCATTGATGTTCATCCTCCTTCCATGCACCACTGTGAACAGCTGGCTTGTAATCTTGGTGGTCTCCTTATAGGTATGATAAGGCTGACTAGAGATCCTCCCCAAAGCCTACCCTTCTGCAAACTGAACAAGCCAGTTCCATCAGCCTCTCCTTACAAGTCAAGTTCTCCAAGCCCCTGAGCATCCTGATGACCCTCTGCTAGGCAAAACTGCAGTATTTTAGATGTGGTATGCTGAGTAGCAGGGGATAAAAGCTTCATCTACTGCTGTTCATACATCATGCTCCTGTTCATAGAGCCCTGGATGCTGTTGGCCTTCTTTGCTGCCAGGGCACACTTCCAGCTCACGTGCAGCTTGCTCTCCATCAGGAGGCCCACGTTCTTTCCAGAGAGCTGCTCCCCAGGCTGTCAGTGCCCAATCTGTCTCATTGCCAGGAGCTCATCCTTCCCAGGTGCATTTGTCCTTGTTGAATTTCATGAAGTTCCTTTAGCACATTTCTGCAGCTTGTCTACATCTCTCTGAATGGCAGCCCTGTGCTAAGTCTGTCAATCTGTCCCTGACTTTGCTGTCTTCTGCAGGTCTGATGAAAATGTATTCTGTTGCCTCCTTGAGGTCACTGATCAAGAGAACTGTTAGATGTCAAGTTCACATTTACAATCATCAGTGAAGTGAGCAATTTAATATCACCAATAAACTTTATCAGCTGTATATATATCACTTTCCCAAATCACATATGAATGTTCTGAACTACACAGACTGCTGTGACGTTCTGACAACCACCCAATTTAGCTTGCTACATGATCTTTTACATTGTAGTTTCCATCTTCTACTTTGATCTGGTTTTCTTTTTAGGTGCCTGGCAAAAGCGTCCTTGTTTGCTGAAGCCCCTGCATTTCTCCAACCTGTCTTGTTCTCCCTGAATAGCAGCCCCACCACTGAATCTACCAATGTGTGGTCACCGGCAGACCTGATGACGACATGGAGAAAAAGGCCAAAATTTCCAAGCATTCTATAATTTTTCAAGGATAAGGATGCTTTTACAAATAAGGTATCATCCCAAACTTCTTGCACAAATGCCAGCCTTCTCTCATACACAAATCAAGCGGCATCATATTCTGGTTACGCTAACATAATTGCATGTGGCGGTTTGTATCACAGGAAGAGTGCCGAAGGGCATCCTGGGAAATGTAGTTCCTGACACGCTATCGCACATGCTCCGTGGAGTACTTGGGTGTGGTTGGTTGAGGATCGTTTGTTTCTGTTCGAGCTGCGTATATAAGACGTTGTTGTTCTCAATAAACGTGATTCAGTCGCCTGGGACCGCAGGTGACTGGGTCCGTGCCGTCAATTGCAAGATTTGCTAGTTAAAATAAGTTTGTATTTCCAACAAAGAAAAATCCTGTATTGTCAGAGAGGTTTATGAGAGGATAGCACTTCTCCTATGTGAATGCCTGCAGGCATGTCCCATTGAGTCCTGATCTCACGTCCCAAGCTCTTATTCAGTCTCAAGCTCTCTAGTGAACTCAAGTTCCCAAAGCATCCTGTTCCTTCCCTTAACCAAGGCCACTCAGTGCAACCTCTGACCTTCTCAGATCCAGAGTTTTAGCTTTTCCCCTCCTCCTGCATGAAAAGCTTGAACCTTCCCACCCTCTTGCCTCAGTGTTTCAGCTCCACACACCTATTGTCTCAGAAGTCTCTTTTTTCTTGAGAGAGAATCAATTTCCAAACTCCTGCCCCAGGATGAACACCAGAATTTCCAGCTTTCCTATGTTAAAACTTCTCAACGCCTGTTCCATTGCAAAATCATCTTTTAAATCTCCCTTGCTATCCTACCCTTACCTTCCTCTCACTTTCTCTCTGCTCTCTTTAAATATTTCTCTGCTCTCGCCCTTCTGATTTCACCCACGGGCTCTCATTGGCTCCCAGCATCTTATATCCATGTGTGACTTAACTTACATGACAGCCTAAACATCTCTCCATTTCTCTTCCATCCCCAAAATCCAAGTCCTACTTCCTGCTAGTAGCTAGGCTTTAGAAAACCTGGATGTGAAATGTACTTGAGGTGGGCATTAATGACAAAATCCATAAAGCTACATTAAATGCAAGCATACACATTTTACGGTGAGCATTTTGCATAACTAAAAATGTCACTAATTTATTAAATGTGAAATATAT